CCCACACACAGGAATGCAGTAATGGATTATTATGATTCCTGACAGCATCGGGTAATTCACATTTTTAAGTGAAAACAGAGTATAAAAAGAATAGCTTTGTTTTCTGAATGTACCAATCCTTATTATGTAATAGACTTAATGTACATATATCCTGTATACTCATAGGTTGTTTAGGAAAAGCATGACATTCCAATGTACTTACAACTGTCTTTACTTTCATACAACTGTTACAGTAATATTTTTATTTTTTTATTATTGTTTCATTTTATGACACAGTTTCATAAGCTCTGCGATTCCCCCAACTCCTACCCAAGCTCTCCCCCCATACTGAATTCCTCCATACTGTTACAGTAGTACAGATCATAACCAGTCATGATTCCTTTATTGCAGGCATGGACCAGGCAGAGAGTCCAGGATCTTATTGTCCAGATATATTCAACAGTTTCATTGGGAGATCATCCTTGATCTGAAAGCAGAGCTGGCATCCCCTCCAATGAGATATCACTACACAACTTCAACAAAATGGAAATTTACAACATCATGAAGTTAATTGACCTGGTATTGAGTGACCAATGTGTTAGAAAATGCAAAATCTTAACCACATCCTGTAACTACTTCATTGACATCTCAATTTTAGATTATACACAACCAGTTTCTATAAACCTTAAAATGGCTATAGGGTACTAGTCAGCTGTCTCATGTCTATTTTCATTTTTATTATTAGCAGCTTATAGTATTCAAGTGTGATTTTTACTGAACTTTGTGAATTTTAGGATAGTCCAAAAGGCTTATAACTCTAACAAGCCATATGTTAATGGTTGAGTAGCAGAATAGTTTTAGGAGGGGTGTACAGAGAAATCTTCAGTACCTTAGTGAGGAGTAACTGATCTTTGTGTCCTACCTAGTAAAGTATATGGGAGTCCAAGCTGACTTTTTCCTGTCTGTTTCTTATTGGTCTCTGTCTAGCTGATCTAATTTTGGGGGGGAGGGTTCCGGTGTCACCCTGAGGGGTGGGAGAGCCACCCCTCATTGCAAGAGAGGGTGGGGAGCCAAAGTTGGAACTAAGTAAGGACCAGAGAAAGCTCCACACCCGAGTCCTGAAGGAAGTTTACTGTTCTGTTTCTGAGGTCCACTCAGGGCTCCTGGTTGTTGTTTGATGACAATAGATCCTGTGAAGGTACAGTAATATTTTAAAAGGTGATACTATTTTGCTCTCTAAACATAGAATAAAACATAGAATCCAACTAATACATATGGTCATATATTCATTTATGCGCACTTGACTTCATTCATTCAGAAAATATTTTTGAACACTTGTCACATACTAAGCATGGTTATAAATGACAGAGCAAAGAAAGATTACTGGGAAATGTTTCCATCTCTTAAGAAAATCATGTTCTATGTGAACGTGAAGAACGTAACCATACAGGCCCTAGGTTCCCCAGAATTATGTATACAGAACTTCACTAAAAGCATTTATTTCTGAAGATACTTTCATGTCTTGTGGCTTAAGACTTTGTGACATATTACTAGTTTCTTAGAGCCCTACGAAATCTATAAAACAAATTTGCAAGTAGGAGTATTCTCCTTCCCATTTCTGAAACCAGAAATTTGAAATCAAGATGTCAGCAAGGGCCATTCTGGTCCGAAGGGTCTAGGGCAAGATGCCTTCTGGCTTCACTCATGGATGCTGGCAATCCTTGGTCTTTGCCTAAAGACAACAACTCCAATGAGTGAATCTTCACACGACCATCTTGGATCTGTGCATGTTTGTGTCTAGATGCCCCTTCCTATGTAAAGCCATTAATCACCCTAACCCAATACGATTTCATTTTAGCTTGATATCATCTGCAGAAGCCCTAGATCCACACAAAGACATTTTCACAGGTTAATATATATATTTTCCATAGGTGGACTTAATTTTGGGGTATAACATTATTTGACCTAATATAAGTGTGAAAAATATCAATAGGTTTTTGTATTAATTCCTACTTCTCACTACCAGTATTCATTTTCTGTGAAGATTTTTTTTAAATTTTGGTCTGTTTTTGAAATTATTCTCAAATTTTTAAAATGATTTTCAAACCTGCGAGATACATTGTGGCTTTTGACATAGCTTGTATTCACTTCCCTCTTGTTTCCATGAGTCTCCTTATTTGAAGTCTGTTTACCTTAGCAGCTGTTGAGCTCAAATATTTGAGTTTTTCCCAGTAAAAATAGTAGAATTTGTTCATCTGTTTTTAAAGAGATTTATTTATTTTGAGACAGTGAGAGACAACGAGAGATCTGGCATATACCAGTTCACTTCCCCAGATAGCCTCAATGACCAAAGCTGAGCCAGGCAAAGCCACGAGCCAGGAAGTTCTTGGTCTCCCACATGGCTGGCAGTGTCCCAAACGCCAGGGACATTTTTCCAGGCCAATCACACAGAACTGGATCAAAATGGAACAGCTGGGACACAAGCCAGTGTGCATATGGGATGCTGGCATCATACCGGCATCTGTACCATCAACATCACAATGCGGCCCCCAAAAGCTGTCTGTTAGCAGACACTGGTCACTTCAGAGTACTAGAACACGGGTATACACATATTCCTTTTTGAAACTCTATTTTCATTTTTAAAATGTACACTAAAAGTGCAATTCTCAGTTACATAATTCCTTTTTTTTTTTTTAACTTTTTTGAGGTGGCATTATCTGCTTTATCACAATGCTGGCCCGTACAGTATAGTAATTTTCATTAAGGCACAGGCTCCAGGAACCCTGCTTTGCACTGTGTGTGTGCCTTTCCTATCAACAGAGTTCAGTAGAAAAACTTCTTATCCATCCTCATCAATGTTTGGTATTTTCCGGATCTCTGAGCACAGCCATCCTAAGAGATGTGACAGTCCCATTACACTTGGGAGTTGCATCTTGCTAATGATTATGCTGTGCTGCTTGTCCGTGTGTATATTTTCCTCTGAGAAATGTCTATTGAAGGTTTAATCTGGTTGTTTTTGTTATTGTCTGTTTATACTTCAATGATTCTTAAAGAAGATTGCCATTTGAGCACAAATGCTTTACAAAATGATTTTAACAGCTTGAGACACTGTGCCTTTTCAATAAAAATGGGCTTTATACTTAGGCAAACCCTGATAATATGTAATTCTCTAATGCCAATTTAAATGAGCTATCATTTGATAACTCAGTAAAACTTGTTGGCTCATTTTAAGGTAAGGTCAGTATAAAGGAGTGATTGAAATCCACATTATGTGGATATATAATCAGAAGTAGGACCATTCACTCTTGCTTTGGAATTATCTGCTCATCAGAAATGCAAGTTGGTACATATAATGGTAGGAATTATTATACTGGAGAAGCACTGGCGAAGTTTCTTTGAAGAAACATGTCCCGATTGCTGGGGAACTAATACATACGTTTTTTCATTATACATTTACTTTAGGGTAGTGTACTCCACAACACTTTGCTTACATTCAATTTAAAAGAGAAGCAATGTTTTAAGTACCTAGTTAGAGAATTTTTTTTCTTGTAACCACACCTATTGTAGGGGAGTTCTGTTTTTAGATTAATTAAACTAGCTCTCCAAATAAAGAAGGTTTAAATTTATAACTAACCATTAATATTATTCATGTTTAACTTTCTAATATTTCAGCCAAAACTGTTTTAGAAATGAAATTGAGGTTATTGTTTCCCATAACAAAAATAGCTTCTCAGGAAAGTTTTTAGTGTAGTCTTTCCCATTCTTGATGCCCTGTTCCAGTTTGCCTGGCTCTGAAGATTTTTGGCATGAAAACATTTCAGTGTTAACACAAGGACCGTCCCGGGGAAGCCAGGAAGGCTGCTCATTCTAAACTGACAAAACACAACTAGTGCCCATGCCACGTCCTCTGATGGACATACACACGCCGGTCCATCATTAGTAATTCCAGGATTTATGGGTGGTAAGCACAAGTAGAGAGTGTAGGTTAGATGCACATGACCCCTTCTTTCTCTGAAGAACACTTGCAGTTCAAGTCCATGGATCTCATGAGTTGAGTCACCCAGAGGTCCTGTGAAAGAACAAACTGCTGGAGCATAGGTTTCATATTCAGTAGGTCTGAATTACGGCTCAAAATCTCCATTTCCAATAAGTCGCTAGGTAACGCTGATGATGCTGTTTTGGAAGTTCAATTTTGTGAACCTCTGCTCTGAATGTTTGGCATCTCACTCTTTTCTGAGAATTCCATAAAATTCTAAAATAGTGAGTTCGAGGTATAAAGGGATGAATCAACAACATTCTTTTGTAAGAACTTTTTTTTTCATTTCTTAATTGCCTCTTGGTGTTCAACACAGATACACCCCCACACAAAATATAATAGAAAAGACAAAATTTCAAGCAAGATTTTGCAAATACGTGAAGGAGTTCTTTCTCTTTTGATTGTGGAAAAGTAAATACTTTGCATTACAGTACTGCTGACATTTGGGTCCCCTCACACATATTCAAACCCAACAATGGAAACACCCTTGCTATTGTATGAGTGATTGCTTTTCAACTAGCCTTCTCTTCTAAACAGAAAAGAAAATGGCATGTTAATCACACAGCGTGCATTTTCTTTTATCCTATGCACATGTTTTAATATAACTGAATAATAACAAAGATATTAAAATAATGCCAGATTGCAAATATGTATTCAATTTTATGTGCAAGTTTTGCCCTTGGAAACATCTAATGCATTTCATTAGTGCACAGATTTTTGCCTTCAGCTGTGGAGGGATGTTCCTTCTCCTCAAACAAAGGTCACTGACTGCCCTCATTCAAATGCTGTATTTGACCTAGGAAAGACGGGCCTATTACGCTTTGCAGGCAGGATTTAAATGGCATTTCTGTGGAAGGATTCCAGGAAAATGAAGCTGAAATTATTAAAAAAAAAAAAAAAAACTTTCCCAGTGTGATAAACCAAATGACTCTAAATCCCCAATCTAGAGACTAATGTTCAATAATAATTTTGCTTCTGTCCCCAGCGTTCCGGCGGTGGGCTTGCCATTCCTTTGTGTGCTTTTCAGGGGACTGTGTCTCTCCATGCACCTACAGGGAAGACTCTGTCTCTTTCAACATACGAGGTAAGCGCAGAAGGCCAAAAAATAACCCCAGCCTCTAAGAAAATAGAAGTCTATCGATCCAAAAGTGTTGGCCATGAACCAAATTCAGAGGACTCTCCCAACACATTGGCGGACACCAGTGTGAAAATACACTTGGAGGTTCTTGAAATTTGTGATAACGAAGAGGCGTTGGACACTGTGTCTATCATTAGCAACATCAGCCAGTCCTCCACCCAGGTCAGATCTCCATCCCTACGCTACTCACGAAGAGAAAACAGATTTGTTTCATGTGATTTAGGGGAAACAGCCTCATACTCTCTCTTTTTACCCACGAGTAACCCTGATGGTGATATCAACATCTCCATTCCAGACACTGTTGAAGCTCACAGACAGAACAGTAAACAACAGCATCAAGAAAGGGATGGCTACCAGGAGGAAATCCAACTGTTAAATAAAGCTTACAGGAAGAGGGAGGAAGAAAGCAAGGGTGAATAGAGGCCCTTTAGCCTAACAAGAGCAAGAAGGCCCTGCAACCTCAAACTAACACCTTTGTTCTGAGAACTGATTTCATTTGTTGGTCCGCCTAAGCTTTACTAACCTGTTAGTTGTTTTCAGTGCAAACAGTTGGAACTAGTGCATACACTTAAGCACATTTGATGTGTTACTTACAGAGCACATACTGTGGTGGTTAGAAGATTTTGTTTCTTATTCGATTTTTAAAAAGCAACCTTTACAAAATAAATTCTTGGCCTCGTTTACTAATGTTTTAGCATATATTTGTCAGCTTCGAAGTAAACATTAGAATTGTATACTCTCAACGGATATACTGTTCCCATACACTTCTCTTACACGTAACGTAAAACTTCACTGCAAAGGAGGAAGAGACATGTGGGGGGAAAAAAGAAATGTCGTGAATGTCCATATCGTATAAAGACTTGCCTAACACAAGGCGAAACAAGCTTATTGGAGTTAGCGCGCCAGCTTCCCACGGATGTCTAGGAAATGCATTCTTGTATGAAATGATGGATAAGCTGGGAATCTAGAATACACATATCCCTAATCTGTCTAATAGGTGTCTTCTTCATTTCTATGAAATACAAACTTGTATTGTCTTTTTCTTCTCTGTTATATGAAAAGTGTTTTCCTTTCTTTTCACCGTGTCGTGGCTGATGGCAAGGAAACAAGTACGCTGTGGGTTACAGGCGGGAATGGAAAATAGACTATAACTCCAGCATTACTGGAAAAAGGGTCATAATTTTCTAGAATTCTTTTGTCTGTTTGAAGGGAACGTGTGGGAAAAACACTGCAGATGAAATCATTAGAGCATACCCAACTAGAGTAACATGTTTCTGGATAAAATAGAAGAAAATCCTCTGTTTAAAATGAAAATGTCTGCTTCTAGAGCTGTGGATTAGACAGACTGTCTTCGTCACTCTTGAAGCACAGAAATACTCATTTCAAACTTCCCCTAAAGTTCAAGTTCAAGTCCGCTTTTTTTAGTTTCTAATCCAGGGACAATCTGTGCCCTGTCGTATGAAGGAACAATTCATATTATCAAAAGGAGATCAATTCATATTATCATATATATATACACATAGAGAGAATTAATTAAAAGTATAGTACACTGCAAGAATGCAAGACTCATATTGTCAGAATATTAGTGAATATTTCAATTATGAAATGCTTTACCCTGATCTGTAAAAATTATGAAGTGCTTTACCCTATTCTGTAAAATGTATACTAACTATATTATTTCAGTGTTTATTTTCCCGAGTTATTGAGTCTACATTTCACAAGGTCTTGACTTGGTGCACTCCTACCTCATTTACAAATCTTTATATTTGTTTTACGGATTGAATGAATTATGCTTTAGAATTACTTATTTTGGTTTCCATCTCATTGGACTAGAAGCAATTCTAAATTATTTGACACGGACTGAACATTTTATCGTCACAGGGTTTCTTTTGCACCACAGAGAAGAGTCATTTTCAAAACGATTGCTCTCTCAGTAGATCTGCTTCATCTCTCATTTAGATTCTCAATATCTCATCTAAATTTACAAAACAATGTCATGTTTGTAGAGCAGGCCTCAGAAACGTATAATATAAACTCAAATTCAAGTATGTACTTATTAAAAATGTATTTTATTTTAAAAGATTTTGTATCAGTGAAATTGATTACTGGTATAATACAATGAAAAAATGGAAATATAAATATGATGTTATGTACCAGTTGTATTGTCTAAAAGTAATTCTATGAATATTAAATAATGTTTTTAAAACTATTTGATAGCTTAAATTTATATGTACAATTTTCCGAAGGATAAAGTTGATACTGCTTCTTTAACATGAAATTTCTAATAACATTAGAAATAAGATTTTTAGAAATCTGAGAAAAACAATAAAGATTTGAATGCAACAAAAAAATTCTTTCCACATACTTAACATTTAGGATTAGAATAATAATTGTATAGCGTTCAATATTTAAAGAGCATGAAAAATTGGGATGGAATACAATGTGTTTTCCCTCCCAGTTCCCATTTTATTCTCACTGGATATGGACTTCAGTGGGGAAACTAAGAAACCAAAACATCTAGGGATTCCTCCTCAATGACCCTGACTCATTGCACAATACAATGGGTATACTCAAAACTTCTGCAATGTTGAACAACTGCCAGAATCACTTAGCCCCTAAATATCAAGTTACACAGGTTAGTCAGCATCATATTACAAGCTAACTTGTCACTTTTCAAACCCTAAGGCAACAGTACCTAAATCTAGAAGAAAGTCTACAAGTGGCGAAACCTACAAGGCCTCTGCCTTAACAGGAATGGCTACTCCAAATTCTTATTAAGAGGGGAAGGTTAAATGACACGACTCTACTGAAGTCTTTAGACTGATACCGACTGTACAAAGTGCAGCTCTGGGATAGGAAAGCCGAGTTCTCCATAAGCCCTGTGCCATATCCCATGTCTTACCCTTGCAGGGTTACATCGTTCTTGTTACTAATAGGAAATAATGCTAATAGATTATTTTTCTCGATAAACAGATGAGTTTGAAGTTGGAAATTATTTGCTACCTGTTAAAAATCACCAATCTAGTGGTGACTCCTATAAGCTGCAAAGACATAATCTGTGAAACTCCTTAGTAGTGAAAATAAACAAAAAATATACAGTCAATATGATTTCCTATTTTTTTTTAAGATTTTTAGTTTTATTGCAAAGTCAGATATACAGAGAGGAGGAGACATAGAGAGGAAGATATTCCATCCGATGATTCACTCCCCAAGTGACTACAATGACAGGTGCTGTGCTGATCTGGAGCCAGGAGCCAGGAACTTCCTCCAGGTCTCCCACACGGCTACAGGGTCCCAAGGCTTTGGGCTGTCCTTGACTGCTTTCCCAGGCCACAAGCAGGGAGCTGGATGAGAAGTGGAGCTACCGGGATTAAAACTGGCACCCATATGGGATCTCAGTGCATTCAAAGCAAAGACTTTAGCCGCTAGGCCACTGCACCAGGCCCGATGATTTCCTATTGTTAAAAACAGAGGCAACTCATTCTGAGGACAGTAAACATCAGAATGTAACAGGTTCAACTTTGTTCTATAGTGTTTTCCCTAATCTTGTTCTATAGTATTTAATTTTATAAATATTCTCTTAATTTTAATATTTTTGTTTCACCATCTTTCTTGCAATATTTAATGAATGACAAATACATGGTAGACATTGTTCAAAATACTTGGGATTATACCTGTGAACAGAACAAAACTAAACTATATGTAAAGATAGCTATACAATGAATTTGAGCCGACCACAAAGTTAAAGAGCGTTGCCCCCTGCCAAAAAAAAAAAAGGCTTCCTTTCTCCTGATACCAACTACAAGCTCAGAGTGTTTCCCAAAGTAGTGTAAGTTGCACTATTTCCTAAAAGGCTTCACAGAATTCATGGCAGATCATACATTCCTGTTCTAGTTCTACAAGAGAAGGATGTGGATTCAAATCAGGCAGTAAGCGGAGTTCAGTAAAAGCTATAAACACAGAACCTTTGCTGTAGTTTCCTTGAGAAGTAATGGACAACATTTACTTTCCACCAACCAATAAAGTTCATCAGAATCCTGGTGTGCAGAGTCTTTATTTGCAACATCATAGTAGGAGCAGGAATGAGCACGGTCTATTGATCACACAGCTGTCTTAGTTTCCAGCTCAACATGAGGTCAAGCTGAGATGCAAAGACCACAGACCCTCACTACAAGTCATACTATTATCATCTGGCTGGTCCAAGGCGCTCAAGACAATGTCATCTGTAGAAGGCATGAGGGCACAGGCCAGCGCTCTCTTTGTAAGATTAAGTCCTTTACCAGACATTTACAGGAATGGCTACCAACATACAACGGTTTGACTTATGAATTTTTGACTTTACAATAGTGTGAGAAGGATATGCATTTAGTAGAAACCATACTTCAGACTTTGAATTGTGATCGCTTCCCAGTCTAGTGGGATGAGACGCGATGCTCTCTCAGGCTGCTGGGCCCTATAGGATGCGTCACTGCTAAACCATGGTATTTGTTAGGTTATGGGGACTTCATGCATTTTTTAGTATGGCATTTTTAAGCTATGTTGAGTTTATCAGGTTATACACCCATAATAAGTCAAGGCACATGTGTCCATGTGCATTTACTACATAGGTAAACACACACACACTCCCCCCCACACACATACGTACACAGGCTCTTGATCATGCACATGATAGACCTTCAAAAAGTAGAAAATGTGTATTATGTTTAAATTCAATTTCCCATTAAGTTTTTGAAATATCCACATATATATGTTAACGCTAAGGAGAAATTTTTTTTTTCAAAAAGGACAAAAACAGAAAATGTGCTTTTTATAATAATCTGGTTGGGAAATATTTTACAATACGGCACATTTTTTGACAGATTCAAAGTGCAGAAGCGTACTGTGAGATTATACAGGAAAACCACAGCCAAGGGAACCATGAGTTTTAAGAAAGAGGAGTGAGTCTTCTACATGAAGTGGTGAGCCACTGGTAGATTCTGAGCAAACGAGTGACACGATTTTGTTTCATGAATGATGGTTGTAAGTGGTAAAAGATGACTACATAAACAGCATTTAAGAAGCCAATTCAGTAGTCTGGGTTAGAGACAATGTTGTCTCTCATGAGGGGAGTGGTAACAGAGATGATAACAGAATCCTACTGACTCTATAAAGGAAAATCCTTAGTAACACGCACTTACATATTCCTTCAATGTCTGTTCTATGAAATCTACAACAAAGAGGAAACGTTATCCTTGGCAAGTGTTTTCTTTGCATCCCCTTAGAGTCCATGTTCTAAACACATCCATGCACGACAGAGGCCAGGATTCTGAAGGTCGTGTTTGCTAGTCTTTTCTAAGCGAAATTTAGGCTTTGTAACTGCCTTTGAGAGGCATTTTACAAGATTGGGGAAGCTGAGTGGAAGAGAAGCACAATTAAACGAA